AATTCCCTTGTGTCACTATTTTTCCCCATCTAAATGTGATTGGTCAGTCTTCTCAAGATGATTAGTTTGGTCATTCAAGTGAATTGCTGATCACTGTGGTCCAACTTCAGCTTATTCTGATGATTAGGTTTACAGCATAATGATTTGATCTATTTATTTTTAAAATCGATTTTTAGTTTTGCTTTTTCTCTGATCAAAAATATTTACTTGTTTTTTTTCTTTGAAATATATTTTCTTGCCTCAAAGAAATATTATCATGGAGAGTCGATTGAAATCAACGTGTTAGTGGATAATAATTCAAATAAAACTGTTAAAAAGATTAAACTTTCAGGTGAGTAATAAAAAAAGTATATTACGTAATCTATTCTACTCCTTTTTCTCTCGTCTTTATCACACAAACGCACAGACGCAAGATAGCAGATTTTATGCAGTTACTCACTTATTTAAGTGATGGCTACCAGGGGCGAATCTCTGCCACACGTATATTTCGTCTTGTTTTGCAACTCATCACCTGGACACTCTCTCTGTGTCTCTCACTGTGATTGAACACTGTTAGTAACTAGTGTAATGTGTCTAGTCCTTTGTTGCGTGCAGACCTAGTTCTGTCAGTCAGGTTTGCAATGTGACCACTATTCTAGACGGCTTGCCATCACTCTGAACTGTTGTTATTAGGTGGTTAGTGGTGATCGGTGGGAATCATTGCCTGAACTAGATTTCTTGTTTGCTTGTTGACAGTCACCAGTCAGCAAGGTGTATTTTCGGCCTCGCGATAGCCTCTTTTGTTAACGTCTGTGACTGCGGCACTGGGTAATTTGGGTTCAAATCCTCGAGAGGATATGAGTTCCCTCAAGGTAGTAGATTCGCCTTGTTAACTGGTGACGGTCAACAAGTAAGCACGAAAGCCTGGGTGTAAGGCTTCCAGCCAATAGCCTCCAACCCATCTAATATTAACTCTCTTACTCTATCCGTTGGTAGTTTTGAAATTGGGATTCATATAAAGCATTTATTGTTCCAGAGGTTGAAGCGTACAAAACATGCATCTTGGTCGTCTTAGAGGAAAAACTAATCAAACGAAGAATTACTTCAGCCATGAAGTTGATCTCTTCAACAGGTTCTATCTACTCTCATAACACTGATTACTTGATGAATATGTAATTTTCTTTAGAAAAAATTCCCCAGGTGCTACAATTTTTATATCCATCATAGTTAGAGAAATAATCATTCTTGACAATATTAACGTTTCTTTTTGATTAACGTCTTATCATTAACACGAGAATTCCTTCCAAAGTGTATATATATGTATGAATTGTCTGTTAATAGATTATAATTCAAAACATATGTGCCTAAATGACTAGTGTTAAATGGGATTCTGCTAAGTCATTCAAAAGACTTAGGATTATGAGTGAACCATAAGTTGGACATGTTTGTTCAAATGCATTTGAATAAACTAGCAGCATGTCGCTTACTATCAGCTTGTTTAAATGCTTAAATAAGGTACTAAATTGAACGCGAGATATATGAAAGTGATACCCGATGGTCTCCTCGGCGTTTGTCTAAACCTGTAACGACATAAGACAATGGCCAGACAACCGATCGCTTACTGAGAAAATCAACAGCTTTTTGTAGATTTTTATATAGATTATTATTCTTTATTATTAGTAGAGAAACATAGTCTTCTGAATTGGTTGTTTACTCGCTGAAAGTTAATCTTTCATCTCTTTGTGGCCATTTGTTTGAAGGTCAGATCATGTATCTGCGAATCGTATCCTCACACACTAAGCCTGCTGTAATTGGTTGTTGAGTTAGTCTTTATTCTCGTTTTTTTCTCATGACAAAGATTTGGGAAGTAAGCATTGACGTAAATTGCTGTATACCAATTTGGCTAGCAGACAGCTGTCACCACAAACCTCCTTCGTTTTTTTCTTCGGCATACTTTTTGTGCAATAGGTTCTTACTTGGTTTATTCTAAGAGTTTTTTGTGTCTAATTCATTCTGGCCGACCAGCTTATCTTCAGTAGGAATCCAGGGAGGGCATCTGTTGATAAAAGACTCCAGTGACCTATCGGAAATACTCTCCATGACGCTTTTGCCAAATTACTGACCCGTAAAGAAGAACTGGCTTAAGAGTGATATTGGAAGTTCTAATTTTCGTCTTTATGCGTCGGTGGCACAGTGGTTAGGACTCTCACCGACCATGCACATGGTCCGAGGTTCGATTTCCTGCCGACGCACACCTGATATCTATGGTCGGCCTGGAAAATTTGGGCTACCGATATCCATGCTGAAAATTCCATAATTGTGCGAAAAATACAGTGTGGAATCAAGCTGTAATTTCCAGACTGATTTCACAGCAATGATAGTCTGTCTTGTCCCTCCGATTATGGCTGCTTTTGACATCCTTATCTGTTCCGTCTGTATTTAAAACGCAGTGAAAGAATTGATTTCAAGCGTCAGTTTGTAGGGATTTGGTTGATTGGTTACAGGATTTCATCATGAGCTGACATCAGTTAGAGAACCACTGGAAAACATGGGAGTACTGGACAGCAACAGTGACTAGACTTGCTTCCCTTGTATATATATACACCAAGCTCCAACTGTTTTAAGTGAATTTCTATGGCTTTTGCTATTTGGAGTTATCAACAAGCACGAAGTTAATAGGGCTTGAAGACAGCCTGTATTTTGATGGGGTTGTGTTCTGTGAGCTGCATAGTTAATTTGCGAAGCTTTCATATCCCTACTAGGCGACATCTTCAGCGCAGACTTCAATTTGAATTCAAGTGAGCTTTGAGATTTCTCCGCCAGTTTATTAATCATCTCTCCTGATGACCTTGGACGTGATTGGTTGTTTTTGTGGGTTACTTGTCTTGGAACTGATTGTTTCTTTGACTTGATCTTTGACCCTTTGTTTGTGAGGTTTCTTTCCTATCGGTTGATAAATTTTGGTCTATTGATTGATGATTCACTGGAGAGATGATTAATAAACTCGTGGAGAAATCTAAAAGCTCACTTGAATTCAAATTGAAGTCTGCACTGAAGATGTCGCCTAGTAGGGCGATGAAAGCTTCGAAAAATTAACTATCCAGCTGGCTCAGGGAACATAACCACATCAAAATCACTCACCTGAGCTATAAATCTTCTTTATCATTTCTACAGCCTGTATTATAATAAAGTTATCCTACGTGTTGATCACTGATTGATATCAGTTAGAGAACCATTGAAAACTAGCCACATGGAGTACTGCCAGACAGCTGTTTCCACTGTCCTAGTTTGAGAATCATCGGTAGTACGCACCCACCACAAGGGTTTGAGCCCAGGATCTACCGATTACAAGGCAAGCTTATAGACCATTCAGCCCATGAACATCCTCGGTTCGAACCCATGTGGTGGGTGCATATTGCCGATGATTTCAAAACCAGGACAAGGAAAACAGCTGTCTAGCAGTACTCCTGTGTTGCAGGTTTTTATTCAATGGTTCTCGAACTGGCATCAATCCGTGATCAACTCGTCAAAACAAAATCTAATCCTTACAAACCAACTATTGAAACGTTATCCTAGGGATCTTATTATTATTTATCATTATTACTGTTTTTTGTTTAAAAGTTGAAAATCCTATGTAAGACAGTGTTATCATCATTCTACATGTGTTTACGTATAAATTAGACATTGCAGCATAAACGTCATCACAGAACTTTTACCTAGTTCCAGTGATGTTTATCAATAAATGAGTGTACTGTGCTATGTATGTATGTCTAACATGTTTACGATTAAATTGAAGGACACAATGTACATGAATTTGTACATATACAATATATACATATATATCACGTACACATTTGTATCTGTCGCATTATGACGTCATTTTATGATGTGAATCGTAAAATGTATTAACAATACGTTAACCCTTCCCCATTCAGTGTTTAACTTAGCCAGATTTTGATTACATTTTATCATGTGAAAGTTAAAGTGAATAATGATGACATTTTAGTTCTTTCTATTTTTTGCACTTTGTAACAATTGTTTATTGATGAAGCAGTTTTATTCCGATGATAATAATGATGAAAGGCTAATTACCATCATGATATATATATCTGGAAGGATGCTTTGCCTGGACACACTAATCCCTATCTAGTGTCCAACCAAAGTAGTCGATATAAAGTCTTTATAAGCGGTAAATCCTTAGCCCAAAAATAGCTCAATGGTAACGTTTCTGACTGAAGGCAGCACTGCATGACTCAGGTTCGAACCTCAGAAGGGACATGAGTTCTTTCCTTCAAGGTTGCAGATACGCCTTTACTGAGTACTGGTGACTGTCAACTAGGATGAATCCTACATCCAAGACGTCCTGCTGAATGTCCCCAACTATTTGGTTTCAACAATATCTGAGAGTATATATTTCAAAGTAAGGTTTGTCGGGTGATTTCATTGGAATGGTGGAATCTACTACGATGATTTCGTCTTTTCTGGGACTCGTCAGCTTGTCATGCATGCACTGCATTCAATAATGGTATTTTCATTGAATCAGTTGTTTCAAACATTGGAGTGTTATCCTCTTTACCTGCAAAAGGGATGTCAGTTGTTGCTTGTTGGAACCATTGAAAAAAACTGAACAGGGAAGTTAGGTCTTTGTTAGCATACTATCTGCTAGAAACAACTCTCTGATGATGTCTTTAGGTAAAATCAACTATCGTTTATAGTTGACGACAGCTGTCACAGAGAATACAGAATAAACATTTTTCCGTACTTCAGAGTTATTAGCTGGATTTATCTGCATATTACCACAAAACATTGTCAAACAATCCATACTCAAAGTCGATGTCACGTCATTTCTTTGTAGTAAAATGAAATACTGAGAAATCAGGAAGTCTATAAAAAGAGACACTGAGAAATATTTCAGCTCCCTGAGATGAGTCGAACCGCGTACACCTCTCTCTTACCCTCTTTCTCTGTCTCTCAGCCCTAAACACGAGGGACGGTCGTCTGATTAGGAAAGACTATTGTTTAATACGATTGGTCACCCTACTACTCATCTCAGTTACTAAGCAGTATGTGACAACATTGGCAATCAGTTTGAAAATGGACTTAATACTACTCAAAAAGAAAAATTTAGTGACTCATTAGTTCAATAAATACGACATAAATATTGTGAAATTTTTGTATTTTGTTTGAGATGAAAATTTTGTTTTTTGTGCCAATGAGATATGAGCTCAAAGGTTTGAATTTCGTATTCACACTGTTATTCTTTTAAATATTCAATGACTATGTATGTGTATGGTGAAAATGCAATCTTTTTGGCCATATGATGATTATAAAATATCGGATAAGTGGATATAC